CCCCCCCCTTTAATTTTTGACCTGTCCCTTAGTAATAGCTTCTCCTCAACAATCACATACAGGACTAGACAATGTAAATAAATCAGTACCCTCATCAGTTCCCTTAGTTTGTCTTGCTGAAAATCAAGCTTGAATTTCTGGCACAGGATGTCTGGTGTCAATGGTTTGACTTCCATCTGCTGGCCTGGCAAATCTATGAACATTTCAAGTATTGATTAAAGATACATATGTATAGATAGATAATGTATCATACTTGAAATACATCATAGTTAGTAGAATAGATGTAATGGGAAGAAGKTAGACAAAAGATTAAGACCTTCTTTCAAGCGTTTATCAATGGAATCGTTGCTTACCTTGATATTTTGTTTTTGATTTTAGAGTAACAACAATTTCTTGTTTTCCAAAGTGTCGTGTGTCAAGATGTGCTCGTTCGTTTCTTCCTCCCCCAGACGACAATCCTCTCCTCCGATGAGGAGGAATATAACGATTCTGGTTCATACTAGTACTATATTATCATTTGAAATGTCATACTTCCGCTTTCGTTTTCGATATGTGAAACTAGCTCGTTGACCAAGAAATAAATAGTTTATTGGTCTTCCTGTGGTATATAAATTAATTGATTGGTCTTCCTGTGTTAGGAACGCAAGTGGGGTTTTATCAAAAATCGAGCAGGCCGTAAGCTTGTTTTTTTGCCGTACCAAACTCGAAATCGCTTTTGGCGATGTTTTTCTTGCATACATTCTTCTATGCTGCTGAAACATGCAACAAAACCTTGCTTSACCAGCCGTTTTTGAAAAATGTAGAACTAGTCACTAGCTATCTACAAYCTTCTGCAAAATAAAATGTGCCACCTAGTATTCTGGAGTACCATCCCCCTCTCCCCCCGTAGCAATGTTGTCTCGCATGCATTTTACCAGCCAACCGCTTCACAGTGTAGAAAACTTCCTTGACCAACATTGCTAGSGGRAAAGGGGGGAAAGTGGCACATTCATTTGCAAAAGATTGTAGCATTTTTCTTACTGCGCAGCACACGCAGTAATTAACACAAGGGCTCTGGGTACGGGTAAAGCTTATAAAGGCGGCTGTTCTTTTTTAGACCATGCTATCTTTGACATTGCTTTTTATTCAACTTATGCAATGTTATCTTGAAAGAAATCTCTAAAACACGGCTTTCGCATTCTTGATAATAAATGTTTTTAAGGAAGTCAATCTACAGGCACTGAAATATAACTGGTATTTYATTTATTTAATATATTTACAGGAAAGACAAACATGGAGACAATGACAAAACAACAAGCAATTATTGAAATTGTATACATTAAAAAACACTCGGAAACAAGGAAGGTAAACAGCTTCAATGTATTACAGAAATAACTTTATGATTAAATTACCCAATGGTTTGGATTACGTTGTCTTATGAATATTGATGAGCTATTTACATTAGCTTGTTTGAATCCCACCCAATACAGAAGTTCTGTACGACATAATCAGTGTTTCTAAGGATCGCATTTCGCGTACTCTTCATCGACAAATTGTATAAGCTTGGCTTTTTTACTCGTACTAATGAATTCATTAAGTAAAGCCCCCAAGGTATGAACTGCTGCAAGGGGCCAAGCGAGAGATGTTCTGAAGTCCTAGCCAGTTGGCTGTCACCTTTTAATTGCTATATATATATTTCTTCATTCAGTATCTCCAAGACGTCAATTCTTTTCRTTTTCTTCCTAATTTGTAAAGTCATTGCACATGCGTTTACAGTGTTATTYCCCAGAGTATACCGTCCAGGGAATGTCAATACTACGGGCTAATTCACATTCAAGTTGAAGGMGTTTTCATCACGTAATCGCTAAGTGACGTAATAGGGTCGGAAGAGGTGGTAGGAGTAGAGAGCTTAGAAGTAGCAGCGGGACTATTAGATCTGCTGGAATCTTTAGGTGATCCTGTAGTAGCTGTGTGTGGATTGGATAAAGGGCTTTCATTGTTCCCACCAGATGCTTGCTGACCACAAACATGATGATGATTTTCCCAATCTTTATGTTGACAAAACGAGCCACAATATCGAGCAACATTACAGCCGCTACACGTCTCTGTAGCCTTGCGACCACAATTCCAGCAGCTCTGGAATCAAGAATATTATTTGCATCAATAAAAATATTTACACAAGCAGTGTATGAGGATGAGGATCTTACTTACCTCGTTAGAATCTGTTTGCACATTACTGTTGGCAATAGTTTCTTCAGTGGCYGCACGTCGTGCTTCTAACACAGCTTTTTCCATCTTGACATGAGCACCAGCAACTGCTTCATTTGCTTTCTCTTCGGCAGCTCGAACGGCTTTCTGAAGCTCAATTACTGCTTGTCTTTTCACATCACTAACAGCTTCTTCAGCCCGACGTTTAACCTCCGACACGCGCTCTTCAGTTTGTTTGATTGTTTTTGCCATCAGTTCCCCTTAAAAAAAKAGAAAAGAAAAAAATATTTTATTTCACGTCATGGCGGAAGTCATTGTAGAGTCTCCCACAGTAAGCTAACAAACTGTACTCATGAGTGGCATCAGCAGGAATGGAACCCGCAATCTGACCAGCTGGATTCACAGTGGAGAAGGTCAAACAATATATAAGTTGCCATCCCCTCCCCCACCCCYGACAGTCGAGCAACTATTTGACAACTATCTGTATCTTTCGGCTCACCTGTTCGTCGTTTGATTTCCATCTCAGTTTCATCGGCTGTTTTTCTTGCCCATGTCAGAAGCTCTTCTCGGTCCTGTTGACATCTTTGCTGTAAAACTGACACAGCTCTCTTTGTCTTATCTACCATGCCTATTATACACTGTAGCATCTACAACAGTACAAAAACACATTAGAATAACAAACATCATCACATGTAAGTAGAGTCTGGTACGTCTCCCCCATGATTAAAAATAACTAAAAAGCTTAATTCCTATTTGATCTATGCATAATCCATGCATGCCMTGACTCCTTGAGTTACATTAGTCCTGAGTTCATTTCAGGGTTTGATCTGATTTARATCAGCCCAGAGGTTGTTCCGGGGCTTCAGTGTGTGAGGGTATCTGTGCACTGACTTAGGTCAACAAGTCGAAACATGTCTTTCAAATTTAAAAGTGTTGTGTTGTTTTTAAAATTGATTTGTTCTTTTGTGCTATTAYGCTCATATGGGTATATTTACCGTGTCAACATGCCTCCAGTCATCCATCATAGCATCATGTTTACCRTCTAACATGTTGATWGTGTCTGTTGCTTCAGCTTCACGTGAACTGCCAGCTAGAATCACAATGCAAACACTGCCATAAATACACATACATGACRTTCACTGGAATGGTACAGTATAAGTATGACACTTTACCTAATGGCATTGTGAGATCCTCCATACGCAGTTGACCTGGTTTATGAAGGTTGGTGTTGTTGGCTGTAGTATGAAGAGAAAAATACTATCAATACTGTAATCATWACAGTCTACCCGCTGCTGGCACTTTCAAGGTAAGAATGAATAATATGTATGTATTCTTTCATTCCCACCCCTGATGATGTCAGTGATTGACGAAAGTTCAGGCACAAAATAAAGAAATCTATAGCAKTGCACGGCCTCAAATGATTCTTTTTAACTAATTTACAATATTATGCTACTGAAGGATAACTTCACTCATCAACTACAAGCATACATAATGTTGACAGTTCTAAAGCAGGGATTCAATGACAGAACAAGCAAGTGCTTCTCAACCCTTCCTCACTTCTTTATAACTGTGCACAGCACAGCAAGCAGGTTTTTGGATTT